TTCAATAAAAAGCTATTGGGTGAAGTTTATCATCTATTCCCTTTTGTGACAATACAACATTCAAAATAAAATTTGATACTATATCTGTTTCTACAAAGAATGGCTATGAAAATTTGACATAATATAAGATTGGTGTAAAAATAAAGGTTGACTTCAAAGCTTCAAATGTTACTTTTGCCTCTTGATTTCATTAAATTTTGTCTTTATAAGTCAAACATATAAGTAGAGTTGCAATTTGAATGAAGCTCTTCATGAAGATCCAATAATAATCGATAATTTCCACAAAACATATATATCTAAGATAATATATTATAATGTATTCAAAATATTCATACCAAGTTTAAAATATAATCTTCTATTCATTTTCTTATTTGATGCATAGTAGATTATATGTTCCTTGTAGATCTATTTTTGTATAGATCTTAACTTGATTCAATTGATCAATAAATCTAGATATCAAAAGTAGTAGGTACCTATTATTGATGGTGAATTTATTGAGTCTTTGATAATCAACACATAAATTTGGAATTTGAGATAATATTGTGGCTTGAAGTCTCAAAAATTGGAATTTAAGGATTAGTAAGTATTTCTAAGATCTTTAGAATTTTTTTGATTGGATTGAAGTGAAATATTTTTATATGAATATTAGACTTGATTTTCAATATTTAGATGAAATTTAAAAGCAATTCAATAATTCATAAAGGAAATATTAGTGCTGGAAGTTGAGCATTTAGGTTGGAGTAGGAAGTTGTCCAATACCTAATTGGATTACTTTTTATTTCTTTCAATTAGTAAGTGTAATTGATTTCATCATTTTTTTATTTCTTTTTACTTAAAATATTCAAAAATTATGATAATTTTGAATTGATATCAATGGTTTTATTACTAATTGTTGAGATTCCAATCTATTATAAGATTTATTAAGAGTTTGTTTAAGATCTAGAATTTGATTAGGATTTGATTTAAAATTTGGTCTAAGATTTGATTAAGATTAAGATTTATTTAGGATTTGATTTAGAATTTATCTAGAATTTTTCTAGGGTTTAGAATTTCATTAAGATTTCATTAGAATTTGATTTAGAATTTTGGTTAAGGTTCAATTAAGATTTCACTTAGAATTGACTTAAGATTTGATTAAGATTAAATTAGGATTTTAATTAGAATTACATTAAATTTTTAATTTTTAATTTTTCTTTGATATTTTTAATTTTTTTTATAATTTATTTGAAATTTATTTGGATAGTTTAAGTTTGATTGGATTATTAGAAATTACTTGAAGTTTATTTATGGTTCTATTAGACTTGATAGAATTATTGTTACATTATTACTTATCTTCCTTAGCTAAGTGCCCAAGGTATTCTCAAGCAAGAATACACATAATACGACAACGTTGATGTGTACTTGTACAACTCTTAGATCAAAATTTAAAAAATTGATTGTCACAATTTACAACAAAGTCAATGCCTTAATTCAATGTTTTTTTATCTCATATTGTAATTTATAAAAAAATTGGCTAACAAGTGCAGCATCATTCTATTTAATATCAATTGCAAATTGTCAAAATTATGAAGCAAATAACATTATTAATTGATTGTTTTATTACAAAATAACGATCTTATTCATTACAACATGAATTGCATTATGTTTTCTATACGTGGATCGAAATTCTATCAAAAAAATATCTAAATTATCTAATATTAAATCTCATTGTTCAAAATGAGATAAAAAAACATGATAATATTAAACTTGAAAGAAGTGTATCAATGAATCCAACTTGTAATCCTAGAGTTTAATAGCTTTAGAGTTGAAGTTCAATCACAAGTTATATTTGATTGATAAATTCTTGAAACTTGCATCTTATGCCATCAAGCTTCTCATACAATGTAACCTTTAATTCTATAATACTGGAAGGATGTTTAACTTTAGGAAAAGAAACATGATTTGATAGAGATGTTAAAGGAGCTCTAATCATCTCTATATTATTTTTCCTTGTGGTGGTAAATTGAATTAATGCACTGTAAGCATTAACTCCATCAATTACTCTTGCATTTGTATCATTATATTCTTTATTTTAAGAAGCTCTACCATGATAATATTTAGAAAAGAGAAGATGTCTAATATCATTCAAGACAAATAGAAGAGAGAACTTCAAAATATAGAATATACTAAGAACAATATCAATTTAAAAGCGAGTACTCTACAACTTCAAATATGCATATGTCTTATCAAAAAAAAGAAGTAATCTATTCTTAATCAAGAAAAGAAAAAGCTCTAATATTGAAAGTATCCTCTTATCAATTTATCAAGGAAAAAAATCTAATAAAAGTAAATAATCAAGTGAGATTTTTATCAAAGAAGTATGATAAAATAAAAATAAAGAAATATATATATTAAAAGCAAACTAGAATGGCTATTGCCAAAAGACAAGAAAACTAAAGACTCTTGAATCTAAACTAGAGGAAAAAAGAAATTGATAAGAATGAAGAAAGCTTCACTCTTGCTTCTATATATACTATCTATCTAGGAGTTACATGGCAATGTTCTATAGAATCTCCAACATGAGTTGACTTTGCAAGCCACATGTCTTAACTTACAAGGTAAGTTTTCTATGTGTGCACTACATAGTTAGCTTGTTCCACAAGCTATTTATATGTGTGATACTTGGCTAACTTATTGACCAAGTTTCTAACCTAAAAGTCAACTATAAATATGTATAAAGTCAAAATCATATCTATAAAACTTATAAGATGCTATTCTAGAAGATATTATAAAATTAAACTATTTTTATCTACTTCTACCTAATCATATAGATAATTATTAGAGTAAATATATATGTCTGGGATAATTGAGCGCTCATTGCAATTATAGGGTTTTTGGTTTAATTAAAGAGTAAGTTTAGAGAGCAAAATTGATAGGCTTTCTTTGAACATTGGTTTGAGGAGATTTGAATGGATAAAGTCTTTGTGAAAACTTTGCAAAACTAGTGTTATTTTTAAAGACTCTAGGTTTTGTGAAAACAAATAAGTAAATAAAAATTAAAAATATTTACATATTAAAAACAAATATGAATTTTGTTGCAAATCTATAAGAAAGATTTGTTAGTTTGTACATAAACTAAGATAAATCCCTACTAGTTGGTAGTTTACTCTAATTCACAACAATTAATTATTTTATATTTTAATTATATGTAGCTATTCTTTTAAGTTCTTATTAATTGATTCTTTGAGCTTTTTTAATTAATTCCATTCATCACTAAAAAAACCTACACAACACCTATACATGTATTAATTAAATTCATTGAAATCCTAATTCATCCAATTCCTAAATTTATTCAATTCCTAATCCAACTTCATTTAGACCTAATTTTATCCATAGATGATTGTTTTTGTATGAAAGAAAATTATTATTATTATTATTATTATTAAATAAATACTAAAAATTATTAAAAATTATTAAAAATTATGTATATATTAAAAATTGATCATCCATTAATTTGTAAAAAATATCAATAAAAATATATATTGCATTATTATCACATTAGTATAAATTTAAAAATTAAAACTATAGTAACTATAAGTTTATTGAATGATCAAATTATATTTTCTAAGCTTTGTTTTCTTTTTAAATAGTCTTTGAATAATATAAAATAGATTTTGATATTATATTTTCTAAGCTTTGTTTTTTTAAAATAGTCTTTGAATAATATAAAATAGATTTTGATATTTTTAATTAGTATGTGTATATTAAACATAGACATCTTTTGAACATATTCATTATCATCAGGTTTTACTATTGCATTATAACACACAAAACTTATAACACATTTTTATCATAATCTGATTTTCGTTTTAATTAAATATTCTACAAATATTATAAGAAAACGACTTTTTATATGATTTCAATTATATACAACTTTTACTATTATAAAATAGTTTTAAAATCTATTATTAGTACTTCTACAATTTTGATAAATCAATCTAAATTTTGAAACTTATTACTATATACAAACTGATAAAAAAAAAAATACTAATACATGTGCATATATATATATATATATATATATATCATCATAGTTATAGACACAATTGAAATTGACATTCCTATTACATTAATTTTACCAATTTTATTTTCATAATAGTATGTTCAAGTTCTAATAGCATATTCATAGCACAACATTACCATCCAAAGAGATTTCTGAACATAATGATGTAATTCTAAAGGCTGGATAAAGATCAAATTATTGTGTAATTTTAGGTAAAAATATAAATTAGTAAGTGTATGAGAAAGCATTTCAAAATAATTCAACATTTCGAAACATTAAAACTTAAAAGGCATACAATTGAAAATTCTGAGTGTTACATTATTTCGAAGTAGGTGAATAGGTTATTTTTTGATATGATGGTGAGATACATCAATTCTATTAATTGAATGTACTTCAGTTTTTAATATATGTTGATAATCAGTATGAGGGACACGCATACGTAGATGTACACATTTGGATTATAGGACCACATATGTTAATAATATACTCGTTGATAGAACATTTTGGTTCTCTCAAAAGTACGAAGTGAAAGTTGTTTTGCAAGATATTGTAGAATATTGTCTACGCTTTTGCGAATGGTGTGGAACTCCGCAGAGTCTCGATGTTTACATGAAATGTGTAGCAGATCTCGTCTCATTTCGCTCATGCTGAGAATGATGAGGAATATTGGATATTGTTGATGCACTGTGTGCACTACGTAAAAATAAGTCATTAATTTGTCTCCCGCAATGTAGTGTAGAGATAGCTTCAGATAAACAATTCACTTGACATGTTTAAGTGAAACTCTCCGAGGGGCAAAGCAAGGGTATGATTCCATTGGGGTTCTGATGCTGCGTGCAGATTATTAATGGATGCGTCAACAAGTAGTCTTATGACACGAGCTTTACGTGTACAAATTTCAAGCAGGAAAAAGCATAACTGTTAGCATGAGGCTCGGATCATAAGACTTGACCGGGAATATACCAAAGAAGAATGAATCTTATATACGCATCTAGACGAACCGCAACAACTGGAGACAGGGTCGACTTTGATGCAAAGGTACAGATTGTAGACAGCACTTTTCTCATCTATGCCTACCAGCTGATACAGAATGGTGAACTAGAAATTTTAGTCCACCTCCTCGATCTTGGGTCCCGCGCCAGATGGTGGAGAGTCGGTTCCTCCATATGATGGGGCGGCACCCTCACCACCTCCAGCGCCACCCTGGTACATGCGGGCAATGATGGGGTTGCACACACCCTCCAATTCCTTCATCTTGTCTTCGAACTCATCGCTCTCCGCAAGTTGGTTTTGGTCCAACCACTGGATAGCAGCCTCAACTGCGTCCTCAATCTTCTTCTTATCAGCTGCGTCCAAGTTGGATGCAATCTTCTCATCCTTGATAGTATTCCTCATGTTGTAGGCGTAGTTCTCGAGCCCATTCTTTGCCTCAATCTTCTTCTTGTGGTCTTCATCTTCAGACTTGTACTTTTCAGCCTCCTGAACCATCTTCTCAATTTCGTCCTTTGATAGACGACCCTTGTCGTTGGTGATGGTGATCTTGTTCTTTTGTCCCGTCGTCTTGTCCTCGGCAGACACGTTTAAGATACCGTTTGCATCTATATCGAAGCACACGGTAATCTGTGGCACACCACGGGGGGCAGGGGGAATCCCGGAAAGCTCGAACTTACCGAGCAGATTGTTGTCCCTCGTCCTAGCCCTCTCACCCTCATAAACCTGAATCAGCACTCCGGGCTGGTTGTCTGAGTAGGTTGAAAATACCTGCTCCTTCTTGGTGGGAATTGTCGTGTTCCTCGCGATCAATACTGTCATCACACCCCCGGCCGTCTCAAGTCCTAGGGACAATGGAGTGACATCCAGCAATAGCAAGTCCTGGACCTTCTCGTTACCCTCTCCAGATAATATAGCTGCCTGGACAGCGGCACCGTAAGCCACGGCTTCGTCGGGATTGATGGATTTGCACAACTCCTTGCCGTTGAAGAAGTCCTGAAGCAGCTGCTGCACCTTAGGAATACGGGTGGATCCCCCTACCAACACGACATCATGGATGGAGGACTTGTCCATCTTAGCGTCTCTCAAGGACTTCTCCACTGGCTCCATGCACTTCCTGAACATGTCCATGTTCAATTCCTCAAATCGAGCACGGGTGATGGTGGAGTAGAAGTCTACACCCTCGTACAGAGAATCGATCTCGATGGTGGTTTGAGCAGTCGATGACAGTGTCCTCTTTGCCCTCTCGGCGGCGGTCCTCAGCCTCCTCAGGGCACGGGGGTTGCTGCTGATATCCTTCTTGTACTTACGCTTGAACTCCTGAACGAAGTGGTTCACCATCCTGTTGTCAAAGTCCTCCCCGCCCAAGTGGGTATCTCCGGCAGTGGCCTTAACCTCGAAGATACCTTCCTCGATGGTCAGTATAGACACATCGAAAGTACCGCCTCCTAGATCGAAGATTAATACATTCTTCTCTCCTACAGAAGTTGCCTTCTTATCCAATCCGTAAGCAATTGCAGCAGCGGTAGGCTCATTGATGATACGAAGAACGTTCAAACCGGCAATGACTCCGGCATCCTTAGTTGCTTGTCTCTGCGAGTCATTGAAGTAAGCAGGCACAGTCACCACGGCATTTTTCACAGTGGATCCTAGGTAAGCCTCGGCGATCTCTTTCATCTTGATGAGCACCATAGAAGAAACCTCCTCAGCAGCGAAAGTTTTTTCTTCTCCCTTGTACTGTACACTGATCATGGGCTTCTCTCCCGGTCCAGGAGTAATCTTGAATGGCCATAACTTCATGTCACTTTGAACAGATGCATCGCTAAAACGCCTTCCAATCAGCCTTTTAGCATCTGTAACACAAAGAATGTAAAAGATCAGGCAACCAAAACTTAGTGCTGATAAGAGTGAGCGAACTTCAACTGATTCAGAGAAAATCCTGGACACAAAAATCAAAGGATGATTGGCTCAAACATGCCACACATTCACGTACAGACAGAAAAACGCAAGGAAAGAACAATTTCCAGTCACATCCATCTGAGCTTACGACGAATGTTCCCATGATGGAACCCGTACACACGATATCTCAGTACAGAAGCCGCATGCAATACTCAACACCAACGCACAAGTGCCAAGACACACGTGGCAAAGCATGCACTATAGTACTTGACCAGCAGTCAAAAATAAATTGAAAAATACTCAACACATTCATCACAAAGCTAGTAGTTCCAACTGTTTAGACACTCCGCATAAGATATTCCCTAGCAGTGCCAACAGACCAATCATTGAACGTCCATAAGAGGAGAGGAAAATTGTGATAAACCTGAGTAAAGAAAAACTCACCAAACACGGTGTTGGTGGGGTTCATTGCCACCTGATTCTTAGCGGCGTCCCCAATGAGTCGCTCCGTGTCGGTGAATGCGACATAACTGGGGGTGGTCCTGTTCCCCTGATCGTTAGCGATGATCTCAACGCGGTCATGCTGCCATACTCCCACGCAACTGTACGTGGTACCTAAATCAATACCGATGGCAGGACCCTCGCCCTTGCCGGCCATAGCGGACTGCGCTCGCTGTAAATCACTCTTCGCGAAGACACAATCCCTACAGTCGCAATCCTCCGAGAACTACCCGAACGCACACACGGTATCTCGACGATCTGAAGAACGAGAATGCTGAGGAAAGGAAGTCAAGAGGCTTTTGTATCGACGGCTGCGAAGAGCGTCGAAGCCTGAGGAAGCTCGTGGAAGCCCAGCCGGAACCCTAACCCTAGGTTTCCAGAAAAGCCCACTCTTGCTTGCCTGCTTGCTTGCCTCTGTCGGTTCCCCGAATAGACTTCCTGGATCTTTTTGGGGGCTCATCTCATACGGTACCGTATGGCTCTGTATGTATTTTCAATGCTGTACAACTGGACGTCATATTCCCTGAATCTTTTCCAATTCCTGAATAAGAGCAATTCGTTCACTCTTCTGGTCTTTGACATTTTGCATCAAATACGATGGTCATTGATGTCAATTGCTATTCTTGGTGACTTGGGTCTCTTCTTACAGACTCTAGATTTGCAAGCTATGTGACTTTGAAATCCCTTGAAGTGTTTTTACTCTTCTGACGATTGGAGTTTTGTTGGCAGTTTTCCAAAATTGTACTTGTTAATTTGTATGTGAAGGTTGAACTTAACATTGCAATCTAGACAATGTTGTTTTTCTCACAATTTAATTTAATAATAATAGCACCATTTGTTTCCTAATAGTCTAAATGAAGTATCAAAATATGTTGAGAACCAAAATTGGATTGATACTATTGCTAACAGTGGAACAAAATATACGCAATAATTGTAAAAGGATGTGACACCAATCCTTCTTGTCATGACAATGAGTGTATTGAAGTTATAGATTATTATTTTAAACAACCGTCAAGAATTTGTCATAAAATGTTGAGCAAAGAACCATATACCAAGACTGATATTTTTTCATTTTCTAAGTTAGGAGATTATGTTTTTATTTTTCTTTTTTCTATTTATTCTTAATTAAAAAATTAAATTTATAATTTTTTTTCTTTGTATGGTACTTATTTTCATTATTAAATAGATAGTAGTTCCATCATCAATAAGTTTCTTGTTGTGTATGAAATAAGTTAAAGAATTTTAAAATATTGTAATTCCTATATGATTTAATGCACTACTTTTAAATTATATATATAAGATAATAATATATATAATAAAAGTATTATTTCTTAAAAAATATTATTTTAAAAATAATATATGATGTCCATGAGTGCACTAATACAATTTCTAAATTAATTAATTATAATTTACATTATTTTACTACTATTTTCCAATAATGATACATAAAAAAAAAAACAAAACAAAACAAAAAAACATAAAAACAATAATTTTCTCATACATCTAACTTATAGTATAACAAGCATAAAATAGTTGATTTGTACAATATTTATTTAAAAAATAAAAAATAAAAACAAAAATCAAATTTAGATATTATTAATTATTCAGAATAAATTTAAACAAAAAATATAATATTAAAATTTATTCATGAATATCTAAAATTTTTAATTTTAATTACAAAATATAGTCTATTTTTGTCTAAATTAACAAACCAAGCAATTAAAAAATCATTATTTTTGATATAAATTAAGAAAAATATAAAATTTAAGCATTTAATTGATAAATAAAATAATAATATATTTATGTATTACATAATAAATTAAAATGATTTTTTAATAATATAATATAATGATGTTGAAATTAATCTAATGGTTTGCATGGACTAAATCTTTAAAAAACTATAATAGTAAATTTTAAATTTTAAATTTTTGTAATTTGATATTTTTATTTATGTAGGATACTATGATAAAGAAATTGTGTACCAAGGCATTGTATCTTCCAACTTGTATACACATATATTATAAAATGAGTAGATTGTTCACTAATTACATTGAATTAACATTAAAGTCAATAGAAACGTCTCATGAAATGTAATTTATTTTATAATATCATAGCTTTAATTTGTATAAAAAGTAACTTTTGTAGCCACAATATTATTTTATTAAATTTAATAACACATAAAATCAATGATTATAACATGTTTGAAAGCCAATTTATATCAAGATTAAAATATGGTTATCTACAATATTGTCAATACATCTATTATATTATCTTAGTCTTAAAAGATATCTATATCTTAAATCTCTATTCTAAAGGCCATAATTTAGAAGTCATACTAAAGTCTTTTACTTGGCAAATAAAAGTTTCTTTTAGATGTAATTTAATAAAAGAAAATACCATAAAAAAGATCAAACCAACTTTTTATCAAAAGTCTAAATATATTACCTTATACCTTGATTTTGAAAATTTTAAAAATATATACCTTTTTATTTGTAAATTTTTATAAATTTTAAATCATGAATTTTAGAAATTATAAACGTGGTATTTTTTCAATTAAAAACTACTCCTTAAAATTGACCTAATAGAAACTCAAAGAAACAATATTTTCATGGTATTTGAGGAAAAAGAAAAAAAAAATCTACATAATTATACTATCATATTGCTTTTAAGTTAAATTATTTGAAGAATAAGTGTCACGGACACAGAAATACAAGCTCGAGATCTAACAAGAAGTTCAAGAAGAACTGGCAAGAACTAGATTAATCAGATGAATACAAGAAGAACACCAGAGAGGTGAGCTAGAGCTCCAAGAGATGTGTTGTCGAGACTGAAGAACTCTTCAGCCTCGATTCCAATATATATTCCTATTTAGGAAGCTTCTCAAGTAACTTCTACCAACTAGGAAGCTTCTCAAGCGACTTCCACCAACTAGGAAGCTTCTCAAGCGACTTCCACCAACTAGGAAGCTTCTCAAGCAACTTCTACCAACTAAGAAGCTTCTAGAAGGTTCCAGAGACTTGCTTCTAGAAGGTTCTAAGGACTATGTCTCTAACATCACCCCCTCATTTAGCTTCGAGGTCTCTGAGAAGCAATATTATTGTTAATCAGTACCAAAACAAGAAAATGAAGATCTGTCGCATAACGTCTGCTATGAACTCCAACTGTTGTTCACGAGGCAAGTGGTTCATCGGCCCTTAAAGCCAACGGTAGTGGCCCACACCTTCAAATTCTGGCCAAGCATGAACTTCTGTGTCCTCATTGTAAAATTGTCCTGCAAACACGCCTTCTGGCTGACCATCGTAAGTAGACTCGAACTCAAATACAATCACCAGTAATCGGTTACTCGATATCCTCTATTGTCGTCGTGGTATAGGCGGTCCTTCATCTCGGGGTCGCCTTTGTGAGCTAGTCAATTGAGATAATCTGATTGGTATAGTATCTATCTCTTGGCTATCCATATCAGAAGGCTATTGAAAAAATTCTACTTTATCAACTACGAGTTTTGGTCATGCTCTCCCCCTTTCTTATATTCTTAGGTGAACAAGCTTCAGAAGGAAGCTATCGTCGAACCGACTTAGGTTTAGGAGAATGTTGTTGATAAAACTCCTGTACTTTTTGTGGCACATTGGCAAGATTTTCAGCTGGTTCCCACGTTCGCTCATTAATGTTGTAGCCGCACCAATGAACAAGATACTCCAACTTACCCCACCTTTGCCGTGAATCCAGCACCTTTTCGACCTCGTATTCCTCGTGGTTCTCGATCTCAATACTAGGTGGCGAACATTGCACTCTTCCAAGAAAGGACGACTCTCGATAAGGCTCCAACAGAGAAACATGAAAGACTGGATGTACCTTCATAGAAGCCGGTAATTCTAGATGGTACGCCACTAGATTGATTTGCTTTTGGATGATAAATGGTCCCAATCTTCGATAGTCCAACTTATCACATGGTCGCTTGATCTTAATATTCCATCGAAGAAGCCATGCTTTATCTCTAATTTTGAAAGTAGGTGCTTGATTCCAAAATCTATCTGCAGATGCCTTGTAGGATTCTTGAGCGGATTGTAATTGAAGCTTCAACGTAGTTTGAAGCTCTGATAGTTGCTTCGCAAGTCCTTCAGCTGATGGATTGTTATTTGTTGACAGACTCAATAAATCAAGCTTAAAATGATACCCATAGTTTGCAAAGAATGGTGTGTATTGAGTCGACGCATGGAGGATGTTGTTATATGCAAACTCGGCTAGCTATAGATATGCGGTCCAATCGTCTTACTGATAGTTGATGCTGCATCGTAAGTATTGTTCCAAGACTTGGTTCACCCGTTCCGTTTGGCCGTCAGTTTGAGGATGGAAAGCCGAAGAAAGCTTGATATCCACCTTCAGTATCACAAAAAGAGATCTCCAAAACTTTGATACAAACTGCGTTCCTCGATCTGATACGATATCATTTGGTAGTCCACGATAATGATACTTATTATTGAGAAAGAGCCTCGCTGTGATTACACTGAACGATGTCTTCTTGCAAGGAACAAAGTGTGTCATCTTTGTAAGTCGATCTACTACGACAAAGATGTTGTCGAATGAGTTCGATGATGGCAGGTCCGTGATGAAGTCCATGGAAACTAAAGACCATGGTCGACGTGGAATCGACAATGGGTGTAGAAGTCCATAAGGGCAATGTCGAGGATTCTTAGATCTTGAACAAATATCGCAGGAGAAGACAAAATCTTTTATATCCTTCCATATTTGGAGCCACCAAAAATCTTGAGAAATAAGCTCCAAGGTCTTGTTGAATCTAAAATGTCTCGTAGCTAGAAAATCATGGCAAGATTGAAGAACTCGGAGTCATGCTAGTCCTTTTGGAATATACAACTGCTCCTCAAAGTATAAAAGATCTCCCTCCACCTTGAACTTGTCGTCATTGGTATGCTGCTTGATATTAATGGCTACTAGATCTTCAATGGTTACGGCACGTACTTGGTTCAAGAAGTCAGCATCAATTGGCACAATAGTAGCGCAAAGCCGAAATTGCTCTGGTTCAACAACGTCATATATTGTTGATCAAATGCTGCTTTTCTAGCCTTTGGTATAAGATACAATCTCCTCGATAAGGCATTGGATAGTCCTTGCTGCTTTCCAAGTCGATAAGTGATAACAAAATCGAATCTACATAGGAACATACTCCACCGAGCTTGACATCAATTTAGAACTCGAGCCGACATGAAATACTCCAAATTCTTGTGATCAGTGTATATGGTCATTGGATGTGCAGCTCCTTCAAGAAAG